TTGATTGATTGAGATAAGGTCCTATTGGATTGACTGCATGTTTCCATGACAATGGATTGATGCTAGTTTGATTGATTGAGATAAGGTCCTATTGGATTGACTGCATGTTTCTATGACTTTGTCTGTTTGTAGTTATTCTATAGGTGTACAGAAAAGTTTAACAGAATTATTTCAGAGTTCACACAAAGAGTCTACACAAGGGATCAATATGCAATATTCAGTGAGTAAAATTCAACAGGGTTTACAGTAAAAAGATGTCAAGAAAATAGAACAAGCACCAGTCTGTTTCCGGCAATCCGCTGACAAACAACAAGCAAAGAAGTTACGAATAACTTTTTAAGTAGCAGGCGATTGACTAAGCTATACTGAGAACACTGTTAAATCAAAATTGGCTGCAAGGACTTTTGAAACAGTTTAAAATGAAATAATATTTCAGCTATTTTTTCTGCTGGTGTTTATAGTTTCCTTCAGTGATTGGTCAACACTCTGTTAGGTGGGAAGGGTCATGGAGAGAGGTGACTGGTATTGAGCCTACTGCATCTTTCTCTGTTCGTCAAGAAGCAGGGCATTCTTTAAAGAGTTCATTATTGGTAAGTCAAGTGTATCATTCACTACAAATCTTATGTTCTATGGCTCACACTAGAGAGTTTAAGCATCKTGTTTACAGAGCTGAACCAATGACCTGAGAATTTCATGAATTTTTGTACTTTAAAAGAACACAAAAAGTATTTTGAAGAAAATACAGCATGAATCCTGATTATAATGAGATATTATGCAAACAAAGTAGTGTGCACTTCTTGTCTAGTATGCACATTTGTCATGGAGATCGACACATAAATGGATTGGAGGGGCTAGTGACCGCCGAAGGCAGGGGTATTAAGGGGGATCTGGGGGMCCTCCCCAGGAAATTTTTAAACAATAACTCTTGTAAATGTGATTTCCAGCATTTCGAAGTTCATAATTATATAAAAAATCGTAATATTTCCTTGCCACTACTACGCATGTACATATATGCGTAAAGGATGCTATGCACCTGAAAATCTATTTTGAAAGTTAGTAGGTTACAATGTAATAATCAATTACAATGTGTTATAGCATACAGTTGTTGCTGATACTAGAGATCATATATCATATCCTACAGAAGGATCTCTTTTTAAGCTAACTCAGGTGAGTAGGGAATGAATGGACTATGCTTCAACTACTTTTAGTTTCCACTTCTGCTGTGGGTTTCCTGTGTTAGACACTTTATGTTGTGGTTTCCTACATCCTTCGTTTTGTTTGAGTATCAAACACGGTAATCTGTTTCCTTAAATTMAAACTGAAACGATAACCAGTATTAACAGGTTTTCTGAAGCTTCTCACAGACAGTGAAGAGAGTTTGGGTACAATATTGGAATTTGTCTTGAATTAGCCTTCAGTAAGATCCAGTCTCCTTTAACCCTATTCAGACTGGGCTTTTTTTTTTCAATCTGTGACTGGGGGGGGGGCCCATTCGGCCCCCCTCAATATCTTCGGAGCCAATACGTCTATGACCATGAAATTTTCACACAATGGTCGCCCACGTAAAACGAACCACCACACCCAGTCTTGACCTGTGGGAACCAAATGTGACGTCATAATGACGTCATCTTCACCATTTTAACGATTTATAATTCATTTTAATAAATTGCCTACAATTCCATAGAGAATGCYTCAATATCATCTGTTTATTATTGAAATGACTTGAAAATAATATTTTTGTATTTTTTAATTGACACCTGTTCTATACACCCTTTTAATAAGTCCCGAGGTATTGTACTCTCYGCACATGACGTCAAATTTATTCTTTTGAATTCCTTTTGTATTGTAAAAATTTCAAAAGAATAAATTTGACGTCAAGTGCGGAGAATTCAATAC